TGAACATAAAATGAATAATATAATTTATAAAAAATATATACTGACCTCTTGAATGTCGTACAGTGGTGAAAGGTCGAAAACACCAACAAAGTTATCATTGTCTGATACTTGTTCGTCTCCGTTCACGATAACTATTTCAACGTTGTCGTCGTCCACCGAGACTTCTTCTGCCTCAACGTTGTCATTGTCCATCATGACTTCAACTACCTCAACTTTGTCATTGTCCATCATGACTTCAACTACCTCAATGTTGTCTTCCAACAAAAGTTCATCCCTCGGAACTTGTACACCGGCATCGACGTTTTCCACATGATCTTCTCGTTCTCTGTATGGTCCGACTACCTATAGAATCATAGACGGTTAATTTAAATGATTTATAAGAACGGTTCATTCTAGACTGAACCAAATATACAATAGTGTATTTATTGTGAAACAATAACATGGTAATAATATTTTATTTTCTATTTGTTTCCAATGCACAATATAGTATAGTTATTAAGTCATTAACTTTGATGTCAATTAAAAGTGTAATGCAATGTAATCAAAAAATGTTGTAGTTTGTAGAATGTACCAAACCATACATGCCCCAATTTATTAATTGATTTTCTATGTAAGAAAATGGAATTGCAGTTTATAAATATTAAGGTTGAGGTGTAACAAAAAAAAAAGAAATTTGTTAAATTACATAAGGTTTGTGGTGACAAATAATTTTTGTGTCATATAACATCGTGTCATCATTCGTATATAGTATCGTTGAGTTTAGTTTAATGTAATATATATTAAAAAAAATGAATTGTAAGTAAAGTTAAATAAGCAAACAAATTATAAATTATGAGCACAGTTTATTCACTATTGGAGTAGTTAACTATGGTTATAGTAATTACAGTTTATAATGTCACATGGAATTTTTAAGAGAAAAAAGATCACATGGAATTTTTAAGTGAAAAAAGTTATCTGAATAATATTAATACAGTATTGTTGAAATTAACTTAATGTAGAATAAATTGAATCGTCAAAGACAATGAAGATATATGTGTTGTATGTGAAAAGTACCTATAATAATTAAATAATATGTAATGTATTTTGTTATATGTGTGTTATTATAAATGATGGGCAAAGTTAATTGACTATTGTAATAGTTAAGTATAGTTAAGTATGGTTATAGTAACTATAGTATATAGATCACATGGAATTTGTAAGTGAAAAGTCATCTGATGACATTAATAGGTACAATATTGTTAAACTTAACTTAATATAGAATACACTAAATAGAATACACTAAATTTTCTATTAAATAATAGTGTAATTGTATTTGAATGTAAAATATTGTTAACAAAAGTAAATATTTTGGTGGTAGGTATGTAAATTTTTTATTCCTAAACTATAAGGATATAAGAGTGTTAGTGAAGTTAATGAGCTATATAGAGTAATAAAACATTTGTAATGAAATAGGTGGATATTGCATAATTCAACAACTGTAGGATAAAATTAACATATTCAATATATCATCGTGCTCTAGCGTAGACCCTTTTGTTATTGTTTATCCATCAAAAAGTGTATGTTTTGCTGTACTGCCAGGTAGGTAGTTAGGTAGGTAAGCAATATGTATTGTAATACAGTGTTATGGTTGTGTTTGAAATGAATGAGTTGTGATGCTTGGAGATGTATGTCTGATATGTAGATACTCACCAAAGATGGCACTGCTGTATGGAACAGAGAACGGCGTCGCGTATGCTCCTGTCTGTAGTCAAGGCCAGGAACAAAATGCCTCGAACACAACGTAGAGGTTAGGTTTACAGGAAAACCTTGGTTCACCACGAATTCCACCCACTGAAGACGACGTTCGTCAGTTGGAAATCTAAGGATGGATGTGATTTATAACATGTCACATTATTGTTATGTGAAATTGTAAATACCTGTGCACTGAAACGTTATTGTCACCATCCACGTTTCCACAGATCACACATCGTTTCACCATTGTGAATAGCCTGGAACGCATAATAGTTATATAACGAACACAACAATATACAAAATTATTATAACGAAAGTATTGAAAGCATTTTGAAATGATGATCGTATCGTTATGTTATCAGTAATGATTAAGCAACTTGTGTTATTTTTAGAATTGATATAGTTTTTACATTGTTCTAAGGTTTGTACTTTGTACATACCTTTTGTACATAAGTACATTATACATGAAAAATGGAAAAATACGAAAAACGACATACTGAGCTCGAAGAATGTTAAAGCCACAAAACAAAATTGAATGAATATATACGCAATGTTAACGCAAATACTTAAGATAAGGACGGCCTCAGTGGAACGGCTGACGTGACTGAGTCCGATTACGAATGTGGATATAAAAAACGTTATATTATTCAATTTGTATACGCTGTTTATGGGGAAAAAGAAACATATTGTAACGCGCCATGGTCAGTGGTCACAATGTTATGTACAATGTTTGAAGTGTGTACAGAAGCGGCCGTTAACGATAAGCGCTGTCATGAGTAGGTACCTACATGTTATGTAATGGATGTACAATTGTACAAACGCACGGGATAGGTACTAATGCTAATATTATTATTATGTCTGTCAAAATTGTACTCACCGGTATTTAAAATCGCCTGATCCAAAACCAAAAATACGTTAGAAAGAAAGCACTTGTTAGGAGTCTAGAAATATTAAAATGTACAAAATAATCACCAATGTTCCTGTGCATTTACAAACGTCTCCTTCGAACGTTAGCCGTAGCCTGACGTTGGATAACACAGTACGGTTCCGCGAGCTTAGTTACCCTCTCCATTCCACCCGCTGAGCGATAAATTTTAACTAATGAAGGTCCAAAGGGCATTTAATGTTACGGACAGACGGTAATAAAAGATACGGATTACGGAATACAAATTTATATATATAACAATCATGGAAATTTTGAAAAATGTGGAAGAAATGTAGGATATCTTACGTCTAATAATTACTATACATATATTTATTAATAATAAAGAAGAACATACAGAAAAGGTAAATGTATAATAATAATTTTTATGTAATAAGAAAGAGAAAAGATCGGAAATTTGAAAAATTACGTAGAAGAAAATCGAAAAAAAAAATGCAAAAAAAGTCGAGTTTCGGGCGGCCGTGTAAACCATATGGCAATGGCGATTTCGACGCCCAGATTTCGACGGATTCGAACTCGGGACCTTCGTGTTTCCCGCCTAACGCCTAACCTACTTGGACACAGTTTGAGATGTGAATTACGGTCAAAACATCAACACTTAAGCCGTGCGTCTACGGAGCGACGTAAACCGATATATTCGATGTACATCGATGTAAATGTAATCGCATATAATTCGCTTGTAATACTCGCATCTCCCATATATATATTTAACGGGGCGTGTGAAAAGCGTTTTCCGTTAATAATTATTAAATCATAGAGGAAAATTAAATTGTAGACATGTATATATACGCGTACGATCGGCTGGTCGCTGGCGTAATTTCTAAACGCGAACCGATTTCAAGGGAAAAGCGCGTTAACTACACGATGCAGGCACGAACGGCGTGCGAAAAGACGAAACGGTGGGAGAAAACAAAAAGAAATGGGCAAAAAGTCCGGCCGGGAGCGTATTTTTCGATCGATATTGCTACCGCTTCGGACGGCGCACGAATATAAACCGCACACGGGCGGCTTCAAGAGATCGCGAGCTACGCGAATCATAAAGGGCGAAAATGATCGAAATCGTATAAAAACATCTAATATTCCGAAAATTTCAAAAATCGGCCGCGACGTTTTAAAACCGCCCGCCGCCGCTGTGAAGGTACGCGATTGGTCGCGCTATAAGGAATCGACGGGACATGGCCGGCGGGTTGGGGAAATGGAGCGGTGATTCATTTTTTACTCCACGGTTTCACTATAACTGCGTTTTCCGTTCCACGGGTTGCTTGTAGACAGCTGATTTCCTTGTCATTTTATATAAAAGAATACTATAATATAATATTATATTATATATTATAGTATATTATTCAATATTGCATTCATAGATGCTTATAAGTTTCTTACCTAGTGAATTGTTCGTACTTAAGTTCAATTTAGGAGTGAATATTGTGGTTAGTGCCTACGGTTCATTTTAAACTTTAACTACCTACGAGTTTTTACGGCTTCCAAGTAAGTAATAAGCATCACCTATTTAGTCGGATTTATTCAGATTTATTTAAGATAGATTTATTTCAGCATGGTTTCAAATAAATGCTCTGTCTCAGGCTGCAAAGATTCAGCAAAGCGAAAATATGTTTTCCCAACCAATCCACAGGATTTTGCTGAATGGGTAGAAAGAACCGGCAATCCTATATTGAAAAACCTTCAAAAAGGCGAAGTTCGGAAAACATATCAAATATATAGGAAACATTTTGATGCCCGATGTGATTCCCCGGGTACCAATCAAAAACTAATTCAGTATTCACTGCCGACATTGAATCTTCCACGTAACATTTTGTCATCTGTGTTTGTGAGCATGTATATGTTATTGTGACATTCAGGATGAAAAAAAAACTATTATTGGAGAATCAATGTGTGCATGTATATGTTAAATCTTATACTTGTGTAAGTATATAATAAGGTTATATACTTATGTATAAGTAATGTAGTAGTGTTGTGTAGTAACCTAATATAAAGTAATAATAACAATGTTACTTTTAGTGTAACATGTTATCTTATTTTGTTACAATTGTTTACAAAAATTAACATCATTACATGTCTGTAATAATAACAAGTAAAGTAACTTTATTACTCTTTAAATGTAACCAGCTTAATACTGTAATTTAGTAATAACTTGTTAATGTGATAATTAAATGATAAGTAATATCAATAGGTAGATTTTTACAGTTTGTTAATCGTATTTAATGTTTAGATACTTTATTTTGTACATGCCTTATGTTGTTTATGTTTGTACATATTATATTACAAATTTATATTTTTTAAATGTTTTATATTATATGCTATAGCTGCTATGAAAGGGTCACTAAACTGGTCAAGCATAAGTCTACCAAATGACAATAATGGTAAGTAAATATCAAATAAATTGAAGTAGTGGTTTAGAATGTTACCTACCAACAAAAATATAATAGTAATCAAGTGTTTAATTTCACTAGGTGGTTCAGTTATTGAACATAATATATTTCAAACACATGAGACCACTTCCGGAATTTATAGAGAAAACAATACATTATCGACCTGTTCTTCAACACCATTTAAATCAAAAAACAATGGTGATTATCAACCTAACAGTAGTTTCATGCTAAATGAGTAACAAATTATTTATGTTTGTATTTTAGATGATAGTGAATCTAATGAACAATTAGAGGACTCGTTGAACATAAATGGTATATTTTGTTTTCAACCACCAACTCAACTAAGCATATCTACACCTAAAAAAAATAAAAGTAAGTTCAAGAAAGTTTTTTATAATCAGGTACAGATTATACAATACATGTTAGTGAAAAGAAAGAATGAATAAATAAATGAAACTATATATACAAATCTCCTTAATTTTACCTGTGCACACTGTAGATAATTATTCCAGAACTGTGGAATACTAATACATAATGTTTTATTATGCTTAGGACAACGCAGATCATTCTTACAGGAGCAAACCATCAAACCAAATAAAATGACACCAAACTGAAAAAAAATTATATATAGCAAGCATCAAATTAAAAATCAACTCTCGAAAAATAAATCTAAAATCAATATTTTCAAGCACCGAGTAAAACTAGCTGATCAATTTACTTCAGCCAGATAGTTGATAAGGTAAATACAACTACATATAATTTCATTATTTCCCAATTAAAAAATCAGAAAAAAAAATTCATGGCCGACGGTATACAGATGATGATAAAATTCTTGCACTGTCTATTTATAAGCAGAGTCCTAAAGGCTATAAGTATTTGTCTTCGTTATTTGCTCTGCCATCAGTGAAAACAATCATGAGTTTGTTGCATAAAGTTCCATTTGGTCCCGGAATAAATGCTCACATTATTGAACACCTAAAACAGACTGTTGAACTTTTGAATCCAATGGATCCGTCATTGCACCTTAATGTTCGATGAAATGGCCTTAGAACCTGGATTGAATTACGACAAACACAAACATTGTGTTTTTGGCTTGGAAGATTATGGACATTTAAGACAACCGTCATTTGCTGATCATGTTTTGACATTCATGATTCAAGGGCTTAATAAAAAGTTCAAACAACCGATATGTTTTTATTTTGTTAAGGGTACAATAAAAACACTTGAACTTAAAAGATGTATAGAAGAAGTTGTACTTGGTATACTTAGTACTGGTTTAAATATTGTGGCCACAGTTTCTGATCAGGGTGCTACCAACGTAGCCGCCATTAATATTTTGATGAAGGAAGCAAAACAGAATTCTGAAATGCATGAAGGTTATTTCATTAAAAAACACAAATTAATACATGTCTATGATCCCCCTCATCTGTTGAAATCTATTCGTAACAATTTATTGACGAAAAATGTTACGTTCACATGGCGTGGTGAGCAACAGATGGCCAAATGGGATTATTTTGTCAATACATATGAAATCGACAAGACATATGAAGATTTGGAGTTACGTAATTTGGCAAAAATCACAGAAGCTCATGTATATCCTAACAAAATAAAAAAAATGAAGGTTGCTTTGGCATCACAAATATTTAGCCATAAAGTCGCATAAACTATGAGATTAATGTGTGATATGGGTAATTATTTTTTGTTATTAAAATTTAATATTTTTTTTGTATTAACTAATTAAAATATTTCCATCATAATTTACTCTTTTAGCACCTGACAACATCAAATTGGGTCGAAATTCCATTGGTACATCAAACTTTGCTTTGTTCATGGATATGGTCTTTGATTCAGTTAATAGTAATTCTGTTCGTCCAGTGAATGGAAAATCTCTACGTTCAGCAGTCACCGTAAATTCCAAACATATATCGTTTTGGAACGAGGTAATTTAGGTGTTTGAATCAATGCAGTTTGTAAATACAAAAGGTATTGCCACAAAACCGCCATTTGTTAAAAACTGGATAGTTACCTTAAAAGCATTCAAATATTTGTGGACCGATTTAAATAAGAACTATAATTTCAAGTATCTACTACCACGTAATATAAATCAAGACCGACTTGAATGCTTGTTTGGTCAATTTAGACAAATTTCTGGCCGGAATATTAATCCTGATTGCTATTACTTTGTTAATTCCTTCAAAACATTACTTCTAAATAATTTCTCATCTATAAAATCAAATCAAACTAAGTGCCAACAGAATAAAATAGATACCTTAAGTAATTTGAAATCTTTCCTTACTAGTACAGTTAACAATAATGAAATGAATGTGGATATTAATTTCTTTGATATGAGTAGTGTGGTAGATTTGCATAAAAATAATGATATTAATGATAGAAAAAAATTAATGCAAATACTAGTGTGAAGAATTGTAAAATAGAATTAAGAAGTGAATTTATAACTAATCCACTTATAAATATTAGACAGTATGATAATATTAAACAGGGATTATGTAATCCATCCACAAAACTGTTTAACTTTGTTAAAGAAATTCTTATTTTTTGTTCAAATTGTATTAATGAAATATTTTATAAACACAATATTGCCCGACAACTATATTTAATAATAGAAATGAATACCACACATAACTTTAAATGCCAGTATCATAATATTAAAGAAATTATAATTAAAAAGACTATAAATTTGTTCCTTTTTACTTACTTCAAAAATATAAACCGAATATTAAGAGGATTAGATACAAAACAATATTATGATGATGAAATTAAAATTATGGCTTCTTCATATTATAATACTCACTCAAAAAGATATAAAACTAAAACTTCTATTAAATAAATGTTTGAGATTATGTATTTTATGTATTATTTATGTATGTACCTATGTATTTATTTTGTTTAACTTTGTGAATATACTATTCACAATATCAATTTCATTTGTAGAGTATATATTTAGATGTACTTCAACAATTTATGTATAATATAAATATTGTAAAAATCACAGTCTTTCATGTGATTCGTAAAGTTTAATTATTCTAATTGTATGAATTAAATGTATATAATATATGATGATATTTATATTATACAACAACAAAAAATGTAATTTAAAATTAATAAATGTGATTAATTATAAAATGCTTTTATTCTTTTACTCTACAGCAATATATTACATTGCACTTATTAGTTATTACTTATTAAAAATCAGTTTAATAGTTATTACAATTTATTTTAAAGAATACTTTATAATATAATATTATAAAATAATAATGCTACCGCGGCAAGGCGCCGCCGTGCCACCCGTAGATTAGTTCTGAAGAATGCCACCGGGAGCGCTTTCTACATGCCTGGTTTACTGTAGTAGTTGCTTATCTATGTATTCTTTTATCTATGGGTCACGGACTAAGATATAATGGAGTGGAAACGAGCAGCTTATCATGACCACGAATGTATGTACAAGAGGCAAAGTGCGGGGGGTGGCTATCTGTTCTTGGAGTTCACAGCGCCCTCTGTATTTAACACGCACTAAGATATAAATTGTGTAGCCAAATAAAACCACCGGTAGCGCTGAAAACTTCAAGAACAGTATTTTTATCAGCTAAGTGACATCTTTTCGTAGCCGTCCCCCGATCCCCGCCGACCATGTCGTTTCCAGTCCATTATATCTTAGTCCGTGCTATGGGTACACGGCTGTGAGTAGTGGGCGTGGCTTAAACGTCGCGTGCTTGCGGATCACGAAAACACCTAACAGCGCATTCTCTTGGTCATTGCATGGTTTCGTTTGCCCGTGTGACGTCCTCTTAACTTTTATTATGATACTTTTTGTAGTTTTATAGATATAAATTACATATAGGTACCTTACCTATTCGTTTTATAATTTTATAATGAAATTTTCAATTTGTGAAATAGTTAGAAAAATGTATCTTCCTCAGGGCCGTTATTTCAACTTGACAAAATGTTTGCAGGCCATTCAAATCATTACCAGGCCACATAGAAAATTAATTGTTTTTTGTGGTGGGGGGGGGGGTAAATTGTGGACAAAAACTGTAGAATATTTGTATAATTTATTGAATATGTCACTTATACTAATATGAAAATATCACAATATTGTTACTATGTGTAGTAGGTACTTTTAATGTATTTATATTAATTATTTTATATTGTGAATACCAGTGTACAGTTGTATTTACACTTGGTAAATAAATGTATGGGTATAAAACACCTTTATAATAAAATACCTTACCGAACCTAACCAACACATTTTTTCTCCCTGCATACTCAAAATATAATATAATAAAGATAGTTTATAAAACCAGAAATTTTGTTTATGGGTTCCCTTCTTCACAGTGTTTGTGTTATAATGATTGTATTAATTATAATATTGTGGGACCACAAAACCACATTCTAATTAAACAAAAATAAAAATTTTTTTTTTTCAATACTGAATAAATATAAAATATATATAATATAAAACACTTCCCAGACAGCAAAATAATATTAATTCAACACGAAAATAATATTTAAGCCGAGAACAAGCGATAGCATTCAACTCTATCGATGGAATACCTCAAATTGAGTACATATTCCATCGGTAAAATAGTTAAACCTATCAACATTATCTTTGTTTTGTGTATTTGAAACCAACGCTTCTGTATATTTTTATCTAGTAAATAAGTTATCGACAACCTAATGCAACAAAAACAGACTATTAAAATCAATGACCAATTAATTCAAATACGCAGACTGGTTAACCCGACCAAACGCGTTGTTATATCTAATGTATGTCAATCTCTAACCGGGCAATATTGGACGCATTAAAACATATAAATATAAACCCCATTTCACAAATTAATCACCCAAAAGCCGGAATCAATATGGAAGGCTACAAGCATATCATGAGCTTTCGCAGGCAAATATACATAACCATGAAGATATCCCCAAACTGCCCAGCTCTATGCTAATCACCCAAAACGATAATCAATTTAGAATATTCTTCACGGATGACACATTAACCTGTTTTCTATGCAAAGCAGTTGGGCCAGGGTTGGCACGAAAAAGCCCACCCCCCAAAAAACCCGGGCTGATTTTCTGGGTTAAACCCACTAATTTTTTTTGAAAAAACCCATAAAACCCGGGTTACTTTTCTGGATAAAATATAAGTTCACTCTTGTTTTTATTTTTTTTAACTTGTGTTAATTTCGGAAAAAAATACCTTATAGGTAATATTTATTTTTCTAATTAAAATATTAAATTGATTTGAAAAAAACTTAATAATTATTTTTTTAATTAGGTAGGTACAATTTAAAGAATAAAATAGAAAAAATTACACACTAATGGTCAATATAAATCTTTTATTTTTAATAAGGTATTAAAATATTAAATAAGTTACTTTCCTGTTAAATGTAAATACTTAATGAATAATCAAAAAAAAAAAAAATAAAAAAAATAACAAATACTTGGTAGTGAAATAAATAATAATAGATGGTCTGTCAGTCTGATAGTTAATGGTTATAGCCAATAGTAAGTATAATAAGTATAATTAAAAAAAGTCCTCCTCAACTTCTCCTTGAGGGGTTTTTACATTTAGTAATCGGTGGATCTTTACTAATTTGGCTGCCTTTTCATGACCCAACCGATTTCTAAGTTTGTTCCAAATCAAGCCAAAAGTGGAAAATATTCGCTCTAATGAAGCAGAGCTAGGAGGAATACTTAGCAGGGCTGAAAGAAACGAACAAAACTCTAAAGGCAATTTTCCTCCTTTTGTGGTTCGGCTTTTCATCACATTCCACCATTGTCCTGGCTTTGATTTGTACATGTTAAGTACGGATTCCAAGAACATTGAAACTGGAAATACAGTAGGGTCCTTTATTTCGAAAGCCAAGAATCCAGCAAGAAATTCTGGTTTGTAAGCTATAACCCATGATTCAGCTTTATATTCATCGTCTTCAGTCAATCTCTCGCCTAAAAAAAAAAATTGTTCTCTTCTCAATAATAGGTATTTAGACTTTATGAATTTACCTACTTAACTCTTTGCTGCACAGTGGGTTACAATACGTCCCCCGCTGTGCAGGCTCGGAGTTACGACAACGTCACGAGGACGAGTCGACCGGTCGAACACTGATCTCGACCGGTGATTGTTCATTTTTATCGTACAACAGTCTGTAGTCTACGAGCCGTTTGTGCACACAAATCATGTTGCGGGCGGCGTTGACGTCTCGATTCCACGTGATTCCACATTTTCGGCAAAACTGAAACCTGTGATCTTGACGTCTGCATCCTTCTTTCGCAGACTTGTACTTGGGCGGCAATTGCATCTTCCCGTGACATTTACTGCAACACTGCGTAGTCATGTATTTGTCTACGTCGATCACATCGCACTTGTCCCGTCTCCGGTGAAACGCCCGCTTCAACTCGCTGTACGCAGGCTTGCAGTTTCTACCGTAACTTTTACCTGTAATGATACTAAATAAAATAAAAGTCTTGTAAAATTTTAAATTATTTTTTTTTTTATTATTGATATTTACCTTCTGCGAGCGATCCGTCACCGAAGCATACGAGCACTCGTTCCTCGGTTTTTCCTTTTAGAGTCAACAGATGCTGTGCCAAAGAGTCCGTGGCGCCGGTCTTCAGTGTTTTAGACCACCAGTGCAGCTTGTTCAACCTCGTTTTGCCGTTCACGCGTTGATCGCCGCGCAAATGCTCCAGTATGTGCTGAACGTAATCGCTATTGTTTTTGAAATTTGCCGTACACCTGGCCGTCATGTCTGGCAATAGTTTTCGAGCTTCTTCCGGCTTCTTCCTGCAAACACCACGGTCAAAAAAGAAAAAAATAATAAAGAAAGCTAAAATTCGTTCCAGATCAAATTCAGCTAACAGTTTAGACAACACAACTAAAGATGAACATGAAAACCCAATAGAAAAATTCTTTACACTAAGTGACAATTTACCTATTTCATATCTCTAATTTATATACATACTTGAACATTTTACAAATAAATCTATCAATATTCACTCACTCATTGAAGAGGTAAATATCGGTATATCGTCTTTAATGGACATATTAGATCGAATTTGGCCACTGGTTACCGATAAAAATTTCACACTCACTGACATAGAAAATATCACCCATCAACTTCAACAGTCTTTCATAATAGTTGGTGATTTTAACAGTCACAGCATTAACTGGGGATCATATAAAACTGACGCAAGAGGTAAAATAATTGAAGAGCTCCTCACGCAAGACAATCTAGTACTACTAAACACCGGCCAACCTACCAGAATAAATCCTTCAAATGGGAAATTTTCCGCTATCGACCTTTCTATCTCTAACACTGCCCTTGCACACCAACTCGAATCGAAAGTTCTCCCACATATCTACAGCAGCGACCACATTCCCATCCAAATAGCCTTCACCGACCTGTCAAACAAAAACGACTTATACTATCCTCCAAGATGGAAAGTTAAAGAAGCCAATTGGAACCTCTTCAATTCTCTAATGGAAAACAATATAACGACACTCAAACACCCCTCCAAAGATAACATCGATGATGATGTAAATCAATTCTCAAATCTCATCATCGTACAACAAAACTAAACTATGATAGCTGTCCAACTTTCCTGGGAAGGATTTTGTATAGGTACCCATTCAGTTTAAATAAAAAGAAAAATAAAGAAGGAAAGTGGTATCTAAACAGATCATATTTTGAAAAATATAGTTGGCTAATGTATTCTAATAAAAAAAGAGGGTTATTTTGTAAGTATTGTGTTCTATTTGCTGATAAAGGAGGAAAATGCAATAGTACAGTACTACAAAAATTTGTAGCTACACCTTTAAACAAATATTCCAAAATCTCAGGGCAATCAGTTGATTTAGCGGTTCATAACAGCCATAAATATCACATAAACGCAGTTACTATCGCAGATTATTTTTTGCGCAATCACAAAAATCCTCAAAAAGAAGTTATCAATATGGCACTCACACATAGAAAAAAAACTGTTTTAGAAAATCGAGAGAGATTGAAACCAATTTTAGAGAGCATAATTTTTCTTGGTCGACAAAATATCCCCCTGAGAGGAAATTTTGATTCTGGAAAACTTTTCAACAATGAAGATAGTACACTTACAATCCCAAAGTCTATAATTACTAACCAAGGTAATTTTCGTGAACTATTAAAGTATAGAGTATTATCTGGGGATAAAGTGCTTGAAGACCATTTAAAATCATTAAACGCAAGAGCAACTTATATTAGCCCAATAATTCAAAATGATTTAATTACATGCTGTACACATTTTATTATAAATAAAATTATTGACGAAGTTAAAGAAAATAAATACTTTAGCATCATTTTTGATGAGACCACACAGACATCAGTCATACTTTACAGATGAGTCTCATTTTAAGGTACTTCCATAAGGGTATTATAAAAGAGAATTTTATAGCATTCATTGACTGTCATAAACATGCTTTTTCCTCAAATAATGATAAAGATCAATGTAATAATGATAGTGAAGATGATGAAGTTGTGGATATAAACTCAACTATATTAGAACTAAAATTGACAGGTGAAATTTTAGGAAAAACAGTAGTATCCATACTTAAAGAGTTACATTTAGATTGCTTAAATTGTGTTGGAATTGCTACAGATGGTTGTTCTGTAATGACATCCACCCTGTGCGGTGCAGTTAAATTTATCCAGTCTTTACGGCACATCGTGGATGGATGGATCTTTATTCAGCCATTCCCTAAATTTATCAATATCAAAATCGTCAAGTGTTCAAGCTATTCAAAATAGTGTTGGGCTAATAAAAGAAGTTATTTCATTTTTCAATATGTCGTCCAAACGACATTATGTTTTACTTACAGTTCTAAAGGGAAATCCACGACTCAAAAGTCTATGTGAAACCCGATGGATTGAACGACATGGCAGCATTATCATTTTTCAGTCATCATTAATATATATTTTAGAAGCCTTAACTTCTATTTCATCATGGCATGAACAAGACTCTTCATCAAAAGCTAAAACACTATTAACTGCTTTATCTGCTTGCGAATTTATAATATCATTATTTACACTTGCCTCATTATTAAGTGTTACAGTTAGTGTAAGTAAAATTTTACAAAATGTCAACTCGGATATAAGTAATTCTACAGAAATCATACATGATGTCATTGATAACTTGGAAAATAAAAGAACCAATTGCTCTGAAGAATTCAACTTAATATTTGAAGTATGCAAAAAAGAAATGATAAAGCATGATATAGAAATAAAAAAACCTCGAATAGTATGTCGACAAACTGCAAGATCAAATTACCAAACAAGTACTATAGGGGATTATTACAGGGTGTCAATTTACATTCCTTTACTTGACAATGTATTAGATGATCTCAAAAATAGGTTTTTAAATGAAAAAAACCAAGAAGTTTTGAAATAATCAACATTAATGCCAAGAAATATTATTGAGGCGGATAGTGATGTTGAAAATGAGTTAGTCAAACTATTCATTAAATATATTTATTTTCAAGATTGTAATGTGAGTGAACTAGAACTCAAGTCAGAGCTATCTCTCTGGAAATCAAAGTGGAAAAGGGAAAAAAATGAAGGTGAATAAAATGTTTATCAACTTACTATAGTTTCATTCAACAATGTATGTATTACCAATAAAAAAATGCTTGTATGATTTAAATGTTTGCTACATGCTTGCATATCCTGTAGATTGAAAAATTGGTTGCGTTCAAAAATGGGACAAAATCGGCTATGTGGATTAGCATTATTGAATATACACAGAGAAATAGAAGTTGACACTCTAAAAATTATACAAAGGTTTGCGAAAATGAAAAGGACACACGCCGATCTCTTATTGTAGAAAATGACAGATGTAATAAATTCATTATGATTTATGACATATTATTTATATGTTATTATAAATTATTAAACGATAATTTATTAACTATTTAAATTACAGTTGTTTAATAAATGTATTATTAGGCACAGCAAATTATTTTTAATGTAAGAGCACACCGGCTTAAATGTATTATAGAGGATTTGGACTAGGTATTCCTAAAAAAATGACTCGCCCCCCAAGATGAGGTCCCAGATACGTGCCTGCTACATAAGTTTAAAAAAAAAAGGTATACCGAATACGTAAGTACAAAAAAATAACAAAAATGGTCCTCCGCGCGTCATTATAGCAGTGTTGCGCTCATGCGTATAAACGTAAAATCGAAAACTTCAGAAGGCCATAACTTCGAAACTAAATGAGAGTGACAAATTCTGATTGAACCATCGTTATTAACTCGATGAGATACATGGGTTTTGATAAAAATTGAAAAAATCGCTTGGCCTCTAAACTAGATTTATGCCATAACTAACAATTTCATGTAAAACGGTTTTGTATTTTTCTAAGTAAGCGTTGAAAGAACCTTTTTAATACTCAAATTCATTTTGAGTGATTTACGAGTCAATCTTACTCCATCTTTATTGGAAAGTATCATGTTAATTAGATGTAACAAACAATTTATTATAAATACATAGATTTGTGTTTGTTTTATAAATATAAAATAAATAATTTATGAAAATATAATATTATTTTAATTTTTTTTGAGTAGCAAACAAATTAAATATGTAAAAAATATTTTAAGAATGAAATTTTTATTTTTAGTATTAATAGAAATGGTATAATAAATAATACAAATTAAAATATTTTATAACATACCTAATTTTGATAAATGGTTCATCTTTATGCATTAGCACAAAGCCACAAAAAAATTATTTTATTATTAAATATTCCGACAATCCCGAATACTGATTTGCTTGTATTCTGTAACACCTTGAAGGCGTGAAAACTGCTAATCTATTCAGTGATGTTATGGATGATAAAATTCTCATTAGTATTTAGTCAGTTACCTTCTTATCTCTTATTAACTTTTAGTCTAATGGCTATTAGCCTCTATGACTATATTATTAAATAGTTTATTTTTAATATTTTACTATACATAATAGAATTGTTACGTTGTGGATATTTTAGGATATTGGGGACACCCACCCCCCCCACCAAAAAAATCAGGGGTAGCAGCTGCTACCCTTCAATCTTCCAGTGTGCGCCACTGTATATTGAGGATACTTTGCACCATACATGGTAACATTGCACCAAAAAAAAAATGTAATTTTACAAACTACTTTGTTAACAATTAATGATAGAAAAATATAAATGTTATCATTTTGTTCCTGATACTGTAAAGTGTCTTTGAAATGGCTCTAACTTCAGTATGTGGATTTCCCTCCAAGACTCGTACAAATTCACAAAAACAACTCTCGGGAAAATTGTGTTTGTTCGTAAACTTAAAATTCAATATCGCAGGTAATTTTTTTTTTATTCTATCAGAAATATTATAAGCATTCAGAATGTGTATGATTCAATTGAACTTTTTTTTTATAGCTATAAAAACTTTTGTAAAACAAAATCAAAATCGTCCAATTTCTGCTCAACTTTGCACCACAATACGATTGGTGCAAAGTAACATAATTATAATGTATTATACAGAACAATAATAGATATTTGTTTTTTAAGATGTCCAAGGTACACAAACGAGCAGTTGGCTCTCGCAATTATCATGATTACACAGAGGAGACACTAAACAAATGTCTCAGTGATATTAAAATAAGGTAATTACATAAAGAAATGCAGCAAAAGCATATAATATTCCTCGTCGCACAATAAATTATAAATCTAAATAAAAACACACTAAATCATTTGGCCGTCCAAATGCTTTTAGTGAAGAAGAGGAAAAAAGTTTTGTAGACCACATTATAAAAATGAGTTTGGGTTACCAGTGAACAAAACGGATTTACGACAGATACTAAAATCTTACCTTGATAAAATAGGAAGAAAAATTAAAGTGTTCAAAAACAATTTACCTGGGCTAACATGGGTCTCACTTTTTTTAAAAAGAAATCCCACTTTAAGTGTACGTCTATCTACACATATAAAGAGGTCTAGAGCTGCTGTAAATATAGAAATGTTAGAAGACTATATAAAAATTTAAAGAAAGTTGTTGCTGATGTACCTCCACATAATATTTATAACTATGACGAGACTAACCTTACTGATAATCCTGGACAGAAAAAAATACTAACAAAAAGAGGAAGTAAATATCCAGAAAAAAATTGTAACTCATCAAAAGTAACTGTAAGTATTATGATGTGTGGAAATGTTGCAAGGGACTTAATACCTCCATATGTAGTATATAAAGCAAATAATTTGTGGCAAGAAAATGGCCCTAAAGGTTGTAGATAAAATGCCACTCTATCTGGGTGATTTGATTCGAATATATTTACAGATTGGTTCGACAAATCACTTGTACGCCACTTAAGAAAAACTCCAGGCAAAAAAGTACTCATAGGTGAGAATCTGTCATCACATTTGTCACCATATGTTATCGACAAATTTAAAGAGGAAAATATTTATTTTGGATGTCTACCACCAAACAGCACCCACATAACCAAACCTTTAAATGTTACATTTTTTCATCCCATGAAAATGGCCTGGAGAAAAATTTTGACCGATTTGAAAAACCCTCCAGAAGGATTTCACAATACCATTCTTCAAAAACAATCTTTTCCCAAGCTGTTGAAACAATTATTAGATACCATGCAACCTAGTATTAAAACAACCATGATAAATGGTTTCAGAAAGTGTGGCATATATCTATATGATGCAGCTGAACTACTCGATAGACTACCGAGATCTGAAGATGTTAATTCGGCAAACGTCGAATTGGTTCCCGGGTCAATTAAAGTGTACGAATTGGTTCCCGACAAAAAAATACTTACCAGTATACAACTGTTCGAATTGGTTCCCGATGTTTAGTGAAAAAAATAAGATGTTCTTCGTTATTAAGGGTTTCATATACGGATTCCAAAAGGAACTATCGGGAAATATGGAACGTTGGACTTGTACAAAAAGAAAATGCACATTGTTTTTAAAAATAAATAATTAGTGTTTGCTTGGAACTATTCAAACTTATATGAATTCTAGACAGTCCTCAGTCTGAATAAATGGGAAGGAAATTGTTGCTGGTTGAATATATCATAATAATTTGGTAAGTTCATTTTACAAGGTTGTATTATTTATGAAAGCTTGTGGGAACCAACTCGTATGTTACCTGTTGACAAGCAGGGAACCAACTTGTATGTTACCTGTAGACAACCCGGGAACCAATTTGTAGTCGTCCCTTAATTCAAGTGTTGAAAAGTTGTTTGTTAAACATTTAAACATGAAAAGATCTGAAGTTACCCAAAATATTATAAAAACTAGGAAAAAGTTAAAAGTTACACCTGGTACCAGTTAAGCTCATACTACAGATTTTAGTGAAGACAATTCTGATTTTGAAGGAAATGAAGACCAAAAAAAAGTGAATAATATGGATGATAAAGATTCAACATCTGAAATTGATGAACCCATTGAGTGCCCAGTGAGTAAAACCTATTCAGTTGATAACTTTGTTATTTTTAAATACATAGAAACATTATACCCTGTGCTCATTATTAGTACAACTGAAGAAGGTGGTGCTATTATACAATCAATGGAAAAATCTAAAACATTTTACAGATGGCCGGTGAAACCATATGAGTTGTTCTACGACTGGAAAGATGTTACTATGAAAATAAGTACTCCAAAATTAATCAGAAGGGGCTATTTTAAGGTGAAATAGTTAGAAACTTATTCTGAATAAAAGCCATGGTTGGTAGTTGTTTGTTTTATTTAAAATTTAAAATTAATTTAAATTAATGTATAATATATTGAAAAATGATGGGCAAGTTAACCTATTTCATTTAAGATAAAAAAAATTCAAAAAAAAATCTATACAAGATGTGATATTCACATAAAAGTACCTAATTAATTAAAAGTTAAAGTTTCTTTTTATTGTTAAGTTTTATAAAAAAAAGTGATGAATTCACTGTTTGTTTTGTTTAATTGCTTAATTGTTTTTGATATTTAAAAGACTATTTAAATTAACGTATATATTGAAAAATGATAGATAAGTTAATCTATTTGATTTATTTTAAGACTGTTAAATTAAAAAAAAATCTATACCAGCTGTGATAGAAACATGGAAGGACCTAGTTAATTAAAAGTTAAAGTTTTTTTTTATTGTTAAGTTTTATAAAATAAAAGTGATATGAACTACCTGCTTATGTTCCTTTATTGATTACAAGTTTAATATTTTAAGTTTTTATTTTTTACATTTTATAAAACTGAAAGAATACATTTATGTTAATTAATAAAAATAAAAGTTTTTGAAAATATGAATGTTTTGTTATTTAAATTATGCCTAATGCGTTTTTTTTTGGCCTAATTATGTTCATTTTGGTCTTTTACACAATATAGATTAGGAGTTGTGTATCTAAAATTTCACCAGTTTTGATTATAACTGAAAGTAGTGAGTTTTTGATATCGATGCAAAGTTACCCAACACCCCATATAACTTTGCATAAAAAAAAAAATTAAAAAAAAATTTTAAGTTGATCAAATTTTAGTTACACAGAATCATTTTTAGCATATTTATCTAGAGGACCGTGAAACAAGTAAAATTCTAACATAATTATTAATAATTATTAAAGTGAGAGTGCATGTTTAAAGTAAAAATAACGAGAAATTTGGTGCAAAGTATCCTCAAAATGATTATTTCGTTATGATATTACTTGATTAATCGGCCAAAAAATTTCAAAAATTTAAGCTAGAAAATTAAATTAAACCATAAAATAGTAAATAGAAATCTTCATACAGTGGCGTCTTTACGGGGGGGGGGGGTCATTGGGTTTGATCCCCCCCCCCACAAGGCTTGAGTTGAGTTTTTTTTTTTTTTATTTAAATCTTAATTAGACGATAATGCCGTCGAAAGAGCGAGGACTGAGGAGAGCGCGCGAGCTGCATACAGAAATGAATTTCAGCACCTAATTTAACTATATTCTCCTGCAATTGATAGGCACAATGTTCTTGCAGAACTGAAGATATGGAAATTAAAACTAGCCAGTAACGAAATAACTAAAACTGGGATAGAAGCGTTCCTTAACTGCGATAAAGACATTTATCTATACTCTGTCCAGCGAGAGAACGTGCCGCGCACCGACCAAAACTGGTTCCCCCACACAACACTCTGCCATAGGGGAACCGGTTTCGATAGCAAGGAGACGCGGGGAAATGCGCAGAATCGGCCCGTTCTCTCGCTGGACAGAGTATAAATATTAAACTTTTCTTAAAAATATTTGTGACATTGCCTGTGTCAACTGCAACTCCTGAGAGGAGTTTTTCTAGTCTAAAAAGGCTTAAAACGCATCTACGTCATACAATGAATGAGGTAAGAAACTAAGAACGTTGGACGTTTAGTTTTTAGGACTTTGGTTGGACTTATAAGTAATTAAAAATTTCCAGACACGGCTGAATGGATTGTCATTACTATGGTACGATATCAACTTGTGAAAACAACTTTTTAGCAGACGGACGCGAGTCACCGTAGCGTTGCCGCTGTGATGTGTGCAGTACGAAAATAAATTGTGGGTTTTCCACATCGCGATTGTGGTACCGCAGGGTTGCCGCGCGTTAAAATAACGCGAGTGTGCTTAGGGCTTAAACTATTTCCGAAGTGCGAACATTTTTTCCAATAATTTTACATATGGGTTTGGTAAAAAAACCAAATATTAAAGATTATTGGTCAACTAATCCTGTCTTACAAACGACATAAGCTTCAAAACTTATGAATGAAGATAGATTTATAAGGATTTTTTCTATGTTACACCGCTTAACTTAGCAAATAATGATAAATATATTCGCAAAGGTCAACCTGGGTATAACAGTTTATATAAAATTAGACCGTACGTAATTTTTTTAAATGATAAAATGTCAAAATTATATTACCCTGGTAAAAATATCACTATTAATGAAGGTGTGTCATTTTCGCGAAAGAGTTTATTTTAGAGTGTATATGAAAAATAAACCCAAAAAATATGACATGAAATTATACACTATAGCTCTAACAGGATATACTTTAAGTTTAAAGATCTATTCAGGAAAGGGAGAGGAAAATAATTCAATTATACCTCTATATAGTCGTTTATGATGAGAGTATTTTGACAAAGGTCATACTATTTACATAGATTTTACACTAGTTCTAGAGTTGGAGTATCATTTGGATCATAAAACGAATATTGTTACGCGCTGCCCTTCAGGAATCCAAAAGTTGATACACTTTTATAATAAGCAATAGTCAATTTAAATATCAATCAATTGTAGTTTTATTAAAACCAAATAATAAGTAATATAGTCGTGGTGAATTGTAGTATCGTGAGTTGGTAAGTATTACTTTAATACACGCTTCTCAACCATTAACAACGACAGCCATCGGGTGCAACTTAACTGGAATAGCTTATGATAGCTTGACGTCAAAAAAGTGCTAGAAATCTTTAAATTCATGTTGCCTTTTATAACTGTGATTAAAGTAGTTATAAATATGTCCGTACTCAGCACCAAGTGCCAAAGAATGTGCCACACCCATGTCATAACGAATAATTCCGGAATATAATTTTTTAGTAGATTTTTTAGCCAATTCTTACCTATCATGGTATTAGCACAATTGGATTTGTTTTGTATTATATATCATTACTATTGGAAAAATTCGTAATTGCCTCTTATATACATAGGTATTATCAACTGTAGCGTTGACTACTGGAAGTCGAGTAAGAAATTGGTCACTGACTTCAAAGTTCTGGCATGTACGCACTACCATTGCTAAATTGTTCACAGAAATGATGGGAATAACTCCGATGATATTTTATTTGAAAACGGCAGGTTTCCTTTCATTAATTAAAGTGTTTCATTCGTGTATTTTGCTTTAGATGATTAATATTAATTATCTAAAGTGATTGTTGTGCGGTTCCCAAATAAGGTTTTCGGTAACGACGCGTCTAGTTAAAATGCGCAGCTCAGTTTGTTATTACTGACGACGGAATCGTCGGCCGTGGCAAATTATGTATTGATGCATGTAAAGGGGAACAAGAGCACGCCACATATTTCATTAGCGGCCTTGTCCCGTTAAAAATAATATTTAAAAATATAAAAAACTAATCATCAAGTAACTACATTTTTTTTCAATATATAAATACGTCACGAGTTCCAATTCCATTGGAAATCCATTATAAAACGGCCATGTATGACTGATAAAACGACTGGCCACACACTTAATACGATATATTTCTAATTTAGATAATGTATTATCAGAGTTCACCTAATGTAAAGTAAATAAGTAATATAATATTACATAGGTACCAGTTGTAAATTATATTTGCTTCGTTTACTCACATGTGATTCAAATTAGTCTAATAAATCTAAATTTTCAGAAAGAATATCAAAAGTTATGATTGATCTAAATGTTGATTCTATGCCCTATGGTTGCCATTTCTTCATTTTAGTACATTTCTTTACAGTCGTCTAACTTGTTGAGTATTTACCTCTGCGGAATTAATGATGACTGCTTTCAAACAATCCTCCAAAGTCCAAACATTCATCAGAATGGGATTTACTTTTCCGGTTTTTTATGATAGTATCAGAATACTTTCTGACTTCAAACTATAATTTAATTGAGTAGGTAATTATAAATATATTTGACTAATATCTTTGATGATCTAGTATTTACCATGACAAATTAAATATAAATATAATTTGTCATAGTAGGTATTTAGTACTTATGCCTTGTTTACACGTGACGAGTACTCGGCCGAGAGAGTCAACTCGGCCGAGCATTGTCCCGTGTGAACCCAAGGATCCAGTACTCAGACAAGAGGAAGCGGATTTGGACCAGAAAATGGATCTTACGTCGAGGCACACACGGTGCTTCTGTTGGACTTCTTAGAGAGCTAGCAAGTGAAGATGTTAACGAATATAGATCGTTTATGAGGATGAATGTTGAACAATTTCAACTGATTTTACAAAATATCTCTGATAAAATTCAACGATCAGACACAGCAATGAGAGAAGCCATATCAGCAAAAGATAAGTTACAAGTAACTTTGTCTTTTTTGGCAACAGGAAATAGTTTCAGAACTCTCCAACATATTTTTCGAGTGCCTAAACCATCGATATCCACCTTTCTTCCTGAAGTTTTCGATGCTATTTACGACTTCTTAAAGGATTATATTAAGGTAAGGAAATAATAAATTATATTTAAATGTCAGAATAATGTCAGAATAATGCAACTTGTGATACTTATATAGGTCAAAATTAAATTATATAAATCTTTTTATAAAAACTTAATAAGTAAGTAAAACAATTAAATTATATAAATCCTTTTATAAAAACTTAATAGATAGGTAAGTAAAACAATTAAATTATATAAATCCTTTTATAAAAACTTAATAAGTAAGTAAAACAATTAAATTATATAAATCCTTTCATTAAATCTTAAAAATAAATAAAACAAATCCAATTTTACTTTTTAGTTTCATAGGCATTTTAAATTATTAATATAAAAAATTAATTTTTATCACTGGCTATATTATAATGTGGAGTTGAAAGTTTGAAAAATAGCTTTGTGTAACAAATCATTTTGATTATCATTTTCAACAGTATGAAATGCACCTCTTGATACATCAGACATGTTGGAATATGACGTCTCATATCCCGACGAAACTGATGAGGGATTCATGTATGATAATGGTGTTGATGAACGTTTTTGACTATGCAGTTCTTCAATTCCCATTTCAGTCAAAATGTTTTGAATTTTACTTTGCGCTCTTAACGATGTTTCTAGGGAAAGAAATTTCTTCAATTGCATTGCAACACTTTTCCCAAACATATCAAAAGAATCATCTTCGGGCTCAGATTTATTGATCGCATCATGTATTGAATTCAAGTCAGCTACAGCACTTAGTACAGAGGCAGTTCTTTTTTTTTTAGTTTGACTAGGTAACTGGGTAGTAAAACTTTGGCTTTCCGGTAATTCATTAGTTAGTGCTTCTTCAGTTGTTTCAGTGCTCACATTTTGTACCTCCATGTTATATTCGAACTAATAAAATAAAAATTGTAATGACAAATTTTTTTTATAAATAATCAATTTTTGATTTTTATACAATAACCTTCAACTATTAATACTTATATAGAAACGTGTAAAACTATTTTAATAATTCATGTCATCACTTACCACTAATTTTATATATCATTGAAAAATATTTTCTAAACCTAAATAAATGCTGTCCCTCACACAGAATATTACTATGCTCATTAATCAATAACAACAAGATAAAATTGAATATAATATGACAATAAAACATTTTGTTTTAGGTTCCAGAAACTAATGAAGAATGGGGAGTTTTAGAGAATGGCTTCCGTACAAGATGGAATTATCCCGGATGTTATGGTGCCATCGATGGCAAACATGTCTCAATTAAAGCTCCCAACCAATGTGGAAGTGAGTTTTGGAACTATAAGGGAAGTAACAGTATAGTTTTGATGGCAATTGTCGATCATGATTATTGTTTCCGATACATAAACGTAGGAGCAAACGAAAGGAACTCGGATGGAGGAATATTTAGAAATTGTTCAATTTATCAAAAACTTGAAAATAATAATATATTACCTGATGGTGGATTTTTAGTCGGAGATGACGCTTTCCCACTAAAAACCTACCTATTGAAACCGTACTCACACAGATCTCTGGCTTATAACAAAAAGATATTTAATTATAGACTATCTAGAGCACGCCGAATAGTAGAAAATGCTTTTGGTATACTAGCTAGTCGATTTCGAATATTCCATAAGCCTATTTCAACCCGGCTAGAAGTAACCGATAAACTTATTCGTACTGCGTGCACTTTGCACAACTAGTTAAGAATGACAAGTGGTATTACATATTTGGGTAGCGGCACTGTAGATGTAGAAGATGAAAACAAGGGTGAAATTTTTGAAGGTACATGGAGAAGAGATTTTTTAATGCCAAGTATCGTTAATACCGGATCGAACCATTCAGCTAGACAAGCTAGAGAATTGCGAGAAAGATACAAACATTACTTCACTCATGAAGGTGCAGTTCCATGGCAAGATAGAATGATCTACTAAGGTGTATAGTTGTTTATATTGTGTAATTTTATTACAATAATTAAAAATATTAAAAAATTATGTCTACATCTCAATTTAATTGTAATTTAATTTTGTAAAATATGATTTAAAAATAAATATATTACTCACATTGTCAAAAGTTGTTCTTGAATCTGCATCCTTGTAGATTGGTTCAAGTTCTTTTAGCCACTGTATATTTGACACATAACAAGTATCAACTCCACTCCCGGATTTCTTAGATTCCTTTATTTTTTTAATTTCCTGAGCATATGTTTAACGAATATTTTTTATTTTTGTTTTTACTTCTGGAACACCAAATCCTTCTATTGCCATTGCTATAACGATACTTCTATAAGCCGATTCACGCATATGTTTATTTTTGTAAGATGAAGATTTAAAATCCCACAAACAATCATGCGATTTGTACTCTTCAATAAATTTGATAGTGTTTTTACAATCCCACTTTGTAGACATTTTGTTAAATGCGTTAACAAATAAGTAATAAACAGTAAAACAATTTAACAAATTAGACAGATAGGTAATTGTATTGATAACAAGTGTTGACAACAATGTGTTGATAACAAGTGTACGAACTACTACGTTGCACTCACGGATAATATACTGAACGGTCGAAGCATTGTATCACGAAAGGGGCGTGGTTTCGATTACCGTGACGTCATAATAGACCTCTGTAATATCATTATAATTATTCAGTGTCATAATATTATGTCTTATGTATTTGTTTTATGTTTTTTTTAAGCAGACAAGCAGTTCCCAATTTTCGAGCAAAGTAAGTACCTATCTCGTAAATATTTCATTTTTTATTAATATATTATTATGTGACATAAATGTGACGTGTCACAAAGTATTATGGGCTGTATACATAGTCGATGCTTAAGAATAAGTAGGCATCGCATAAGCTATACTTATGACTCAAATGTTATCCATAAACGAGACTATGGCTTAAGAAAAGAAAAAGTATTACTTAAACTAAGGTTGGTAGAGACTTACCTTGCATTGCTTTTAGTTATTATCACACATTTTGTATTTTTTAATTGTTAAAATTAAGTTAAGGAATACTTATTCTTAAGCATCAACTATGTCACATAGGGTCAACTACTCATCTTTTTAGGAATATAGTATTTTATTATAGTATTATTATCATGTCATTAAAAACTTTTATTAATTTATGATATAGATGCCAGGTACTAGGTGTGCTGTAGCGTTGTGTTCCAACAGTTTGCAAGTGACTAAGAAAAATGACCTTAACATTTCATATCATACATTTCCTAAAGATAAAAAATTGTCTAATCTTTGGATTAATGCTTGTAGACGAAAAGATACATGGAATCCAAAAACTAGTACAGTTTGTAGCATTCATTTTGTAGATGATGATTTTGAAGTGGATCTCCGTAGTCAATTGATGAACATAAAAACTAAAAGAAAATTAAAACCTCAAGGTAATGATGATTTTTGATATTAACATTATTATTTTAACATACAATTTATTTTTGTAATTTTACCTAAAATATAATTATAACATAAATGGTCTAAGCTAATTAATGTTGTGTTTCACATGTTAGTGTTTCATTATACATTAAAATATATTATAATGTACACATCATTATTAATTATATTATATGTATATATTTTACAGCTATTCCTACACAATATTTGAAAGAATGTCCTTCAGATATTTCCACACAAGTGACATCAAGACAACAACGTGCAAATAAACGCATAAATGAAAATATTGTTAAACATTTAATACTACCAACTCAAAAAATTGAAGATGAATCACCTGAAAATGTACATCCTGTTATTGAAGATGAATCATCCGATGATGTACATCCTGTTATTGAAGATAAGTATGAAAAATTATTGAGTGAGCATCAAAAATTAAAAATTAAATATAAAAATTTAGCCGAACTAAAAAGAAGCCAAAAAAACCGGATAATAATGTTAAATAAAAAATTCAATTCACTTTCTCAAAAATTTGGTGAACATACTAGCCAAACACATTTGTTAGAAGAAGCTTTAAAATCAAATTTTAGTGAGACTCAATTAAGCCTTATTAAAAAAAACCGAAAAAAAGTTATTTGGGGAACAGATGATATATCGAAGGCTTTTACAATAAGATATCTAAGCAAAAGGTGTTATATTTATCTTAGAAATAAATTACATTACCCACTTCCACATGTTTCCACATTAGTCAAATGGGCTTCAAGATTAAACTTTCGTCAAGGTGTTTTATTAGATGTCATTAGAATAATGAAAATAGCAGCACTTAACTTCAATGAGTTAGAAAAAATATGTGTCATTCAATTCGATGAAATGAAAATACAAACCGCTTTTGAATATGACAAAAAAAATGATCAGTTAATTGGGCCATATAGACAAATGCAAGTAATTATGGTAAGAGGCTTATTTAAAAATTGGAAACAACCTATTTATGTTAACTTTGATCAAATAGTAACACCAGAAATCCTTTATGAAGTGATATCTATATTACATGATAATTCATATAAAGTTGTTGCATGTGTATCTGATTGTGGAGGTGCTAATATAGGCTTGTGGAAAAAATTAAATATATCTATTGAAAACACTTATTTTTTACATCCTACCACAAATGATAAAATTTATTACTTTGCAGATGCACCTCATCTTTTGAAACTCACTCGCAATTGGCTAATAGATACAGGTTTTGTTCTTTCAGATGGTTCAAATGTAAACTCAACACCACTAAAAGAGTTATTAAAAATAACAAAGTCAGAAATTTCTACTTGTCATAAATTATCTGAAAAACATATAGAATGTGTAAAGGCTGAAAGGCAAAATGTGGGATTAGCAGCCCAACTACTATCACATAGTGTCGCAACAGCTTTATGCCATTACAAGCCTGGATTTAATAAAATATTATCTGAAAATACAGGAAAATTTGTTGAAGTAATAAGTAATTGGTATGACATTATGAACTCATATACATCTACTGAAACACTATGTACAAAGAAGGCGTATGGCTTAAATCTATCAGAACAAAATAAATGTTTGGATAAAATGTATGAATTAATATTTTCAATGAGATGTAATGGAAAAAACACTCTACAAACTTTCCAGTATATCAGTATATTATCCGTGGACCGAGTAGGCATCTTTCACCGTGCGTCCGTGCATATGATCACCACTAGCGCTCCAACGACGCGGCGGCATGCGCAGTTGTGATTGGTTCTCGTCAAGTGAGTGGGTAGACTTACGGGGAATAGAGAATAGTGAATACTAATGTCAACTATTATAATATCCAATTCATTATCAAAAAAGGACCTTTGAAGGATATATAATATATATATATATATATATATATATATTTAGGTATGTGATGGTCAATGTTGTAGGTATGTAACCATCTTTATGTTAGACATATAGGTAGACAAGCTTTTGGGGAATCTTCAATCTTGTATTAAATGTTCAAAACGTAGATTGAAGATTCCCCAAAAGATGGTGTAAAAAAAATAATTTGCAAAGTTTTGTAATTTTTAAGTACTTTGACGTACAATATTTAAACTTGAAATGCTTATAAAAAAAAAAGTGAATGTCGCTCTGCTGTACAGTAGGTTACAAGTGGGTCACTGTATAATGGATGGTATTAAATTTGAATTCAATGATATAATATCATTGTATAAGAAAAACAATTCTGAGCGAAGACTGTTAGTCAGCCCATGATATATTTATATAACTAATGACAACAAATGCATGGGTAGCGTCCTCTTAATAGTTGAGTATTTATTTTAATTTTAGCCGAATGCAGCACCTCCACAAGGTGAAAATTACGGGGAAAAAGCGTGACGTCAAAGATGCTATATATGAATTGTTGTTTATAAATAAATAAATAATTGATAAATAATAAACAATAATTGTTGTTTTGTTTGGTGGGGTCGAGTCTATAGAATTTTACCTAGGTATAGAAAAATATAAGTTCATAAAGGTTAGGTAAAAAATAAAGGGTAAATAGACTTGTGTTCAAAAAAGAAACCACTGTTATTATTATATGTATTTATTCGTCATAAAATGGTCCATCAGAATAATATAATTTCATAAAGTTTGGGTAAAAAATTAAAGGGTAAATAGACTTATGTTCAAAAAAGAAACCACTGTAATTACGAAATTGTGTTAACAATCACTGAACTAAACATATGGAGCCGGCCAGCCGGGCCCCACATATACTTTTTTAAAACTACTAGTATTCTGTTATATCTTGAATATCTTAGTCTGTGACCAATGACCATAGTGTACTTATATTCAAACAGCTGTCAATGAGTAAATAATATTATTTAAAACTTATCCACTATTTTAAACACAGTTTTACTAACATTTCTAACCAGAAAAAAAATGTATTTATTAATTATTCCTTGGAAAAAATATGATATAAAAACTCAAAATTTCGTTTTCTGAATTTTATCTCCATTTTCTTGGGAAAAATTATGAAAACCATATGATGGTTGACTGCTTCGATCCTCGAAGTTGACCGATTTAACCATTTTTGAAAGGATTAGAAACACCCAAAATCCTCTCTCATTTATTTACCACTTAAACAACAACCAGTCTTTTGGTAAGTATTAGTTTATTGTCATAAACAATTGGCACACCAAGCTCATATACTAAATGAAGGGCTTGGTGCAACAACGAGATAAGTCCACTTTTTTCGAAAATGCACTTTTTCGTGGATTATTGTGTAGGAAAAAATTATCTACATTTTGGTGCAACAACCAGTTAAATCCGATAAATATATATATATATCATTTTTAATGAAATTGGATTTATTTTGTTTTTGATTTTGGTGCAACAACCAGATAACTCCGGAGTTATCTGGTTGTTGCACCAAACTGTGGTCACACTGTTTTAGTTGTAGTACTGTTGATTTTAGTATCAATATTTATCATTCTCTGTTATCTTGACCATCATGTACCGGTGATTAGTTTTACTTCAATTAATATTGTTCGTTAAATGTTTTGAATTATACTATACCTACATTAAAGTTGCTTTTTTTAAAGATTTATCGATTTATACGCAGTTAAGAGTATGAATGCTGAAGATATAAACGCTGCGCTGTCTGAGGATTCCTTCAATTTCTCAGAATTTGATGAAGACATTATCGATCCATATTTCATTTTAGGTGAGTGTAGTGCAGAAAATAATGATTTACATGGAATACATCCATTAATAAGTAGTGACTCTGAACATAACGAAAATCTACAAGAATGTATGGTAGTCGGTTCTGCATATGTACAGGATGGTTTTGAAAATGAAGATGAGGTCTCGGTAGAAAATGATGAGCAGGGATGTTAAATGTTAAATGTTCAACATTTAATTGAAAAAAAAGAGTTGCAACCCCATCAGTATGGGAGAGAAATATTGTCAAAGCAAAACGTGCTAAAGGTGAAGGAGTTGTTAGTTTACGAGGCAAATAGTACAAAAAAGAACAACAGGGGTAGATTGTAAATGCAAATCAGAATCCTTTAAACAATTTACTGATGAACAAAACAACTAACTATAAACATGTTCAATAATATTTCAAACAAAGAAAAACAAGACACATTTTTAGGAGGTTTAATTATAACAAATAACGTTGCTAGACATAGACCTGTTAATAATTCCAAACAACCAAGATCATTAACTTGCAAATATAAAATTCGTTTTGATGGAATTGATGAAAAAGTTGTCTGTAAAAAAGCTTTTTGTTCACTGTTTGGAATAGGGAAATCGAGGGTCGAAAGAATTATTCAAAAAGTAAAAAAAAATATTCCAAGCCCTGTGGATTTGCGTGGAAAGCATAAGAATCGACCGAATAAATTGAGTGATCACATTTTATTTAAAATTAAAACAAATATCCTTAGTTTTCCTCGGTATATTTCACACTACAGTAGACATGACAATGAAAATAAAAGATTTTTATCACCTGAATTAAATAAGCAAGTTGTACAGCTTATATTTAGAAAAATACGAGTTTGACGTTTTTGAAAAGTTAAAGAAGGGAGAAAAAGTTAAACCTACTGTAAAGTATGAATTTTTTTTCACAATATTTTAACAAAAACTTTAATCTGTCTTTTGGCCATCATAAAACAAATACATGTCAAACTTGTGACCATTTACAAAATATGATAAATGCAGAACTTGACATTGAATTAAAATCCAACCTTATTGAAGAAAAACAACAGCGTGTTGAAAAAGCTTCAACATTTTACACTGACTTAAAGAACCTATCAAAAGAATCGAGACTTAATGACAGTATTGAGGTATTGTCATTCGATTATCAGCAAAATATGCCCTTACCACATATTCCTTGTGGTGACGTTTTTTATAAAAGGCAGCTCTGGAGTTATAATTGTTGTGTGTATTCTGGTAAACTTCGTCAGGGCTACTTTTTCATGTATGATGAAACAATAGGAAAAAAAGGACAAAATGAAGTTATCAGCCTAATTGATTATTATTTAAAAAACTTACTTTCACAAGGAGTAAAATAGTTACATATTTTTTCGGATAACTGCAGCAGTCAAAACAAAAATATGGCCTTGTTTCAATATTTTTATACTATTATTCAGTCAAATGCTTTTGGTCTTGAAAAAATTACACATCGTTATCCGGAACCCGGTCACAGTTTTCTCCCCTGTGACCGTTGTTTTGGGCTGATAGAAAAAAATAAGCGTAAGATGGAACGAGTGTTCATACCTCAGACATATCAAAACATGGTAAAAGAAACTAGCAGTGATAAATTTAATGTAATAAATATTACACAAAACGATATATACAATTTTTCTGAATATCTAAAACCCAACTTTAAAAAATACTTAACAAGTTCACACAAAGAAAGGTTTACTATCATGGCATACCGCCTCATAGAATATGTGAAAGATGGACTGTACTGCAAAACCCTTGCAAATAGCACTTTAAAAGAACATTTTATTTTACAAAAATCAGGAACGGACTTGAAATATCCTCTAGAACATCTTCCTCTACTATATTCTATGAAACTTAAGCTTAAAGAAGCTAAATTAAAAGATGTACAGGATTTAGCATCAAAATATGTACCATCTGAGTTTATATGGTTCTATGAACAGCTTGAGGGAGACGTTCAAAATAATGAAAATGTACCAACTTCTGTAAATGAATATTAAATTATTATTATTATCATCATTCATGTTCTTTAGAGGTAACTAAATACCTATTATTAGAAAAATAATATATTTTTTTAATTAATAAAAAGTATGTTTCTAAATATACATTGTTTAATATACTTTTTTCAGTTTTTGTTTCATCAACTTAATCAAGAATGGGGATTCTTGTACCCAGTATGGACATTATTTTTTTTTTAATTTATAACTATTTATGGTAGGTGGAATATTAAAAGAGATCAATATTTAGAAAATGTTTATACTGTGGTATATTGCAACAATGTTTTTTTATTTTTTCAGTTTTTGTTTCATCAACTAATCAAGAATAGGGATTCTTGTACCCAGTATGGACATTATTTTTTTTTTAATTCATAACTATTTATGGTAGGTGATATATTTAAAGAGATTAGTATTTAGAAAATGTTTATACTATGGTATATTGTAATAATGCTTTTTATTAATTTAAAAATAAACAAATAAAAGTGTTTTTAAAGTTTCATTCTGCCTATACTGTGTTTTCAATTTTTAAACATGAAATAACCATAACAACGAAAAATTCCATAAGCTATTTTTGTATATTTTTTTATTTAATTGAATATTAAAGGTTCCAGAATACAAAATAATAACACCAATGGAACATTAAGATATGATGTAAGAAGTCTGCAAAGAGTTTTTGGTTAAAATCAATATTTAAGTTGGTCAAAAAAAATATTTTGTTTATACTTACAGTAACAAAAATAATATTTTGTGGCAAAAAACCAGAAAACTCCATGCCAACTTAACTTTGAAAATTATTATTGAAAAATCTTAAGAATGTAGAAAACCCAAATGTGTTTATTCTTTTTGGGTACTACTAATAGAATTAAAATATGTAGAAACATTTTTTTTTTACGTTTATGCCATTAAAAAAAATTGATTCTTATTCATCCTGAACAATTTAAAAATGTGGACTTATCTCGTTGTTGCACCAAACCCTTCAAATCTGTTAGCTATGAGTTAAATGTATTGCAATACGCATGAAAATGAGAAGAAAAAAATGGGTATATCCAATCGGTGTATTCAAAATACTTATATTTTTAATTATTAATAATATGAAATGGTGTGCATTCATAGTCACCGGTTTCCTTGAGTTGACGAACGAAATACAATGTTTTTAAAGATTTTTCATAATTTTTCCTCTATAATTAGTATTCGTGGGATGAGCGCTAAAAAGCCAATCGATTGTATAACATCCAAGATGTGGTATTTTGGCAAAATAAAAAGATTTGATGCGGAAAAACAATTACTTTTGCCAATCAACAATCACCTCATCAGTCGAAACAGTTACAGCATCGCTTGGCTTCGCACCAGGTGATGCTGTAAATGTTTTGATTAGAGGTCGTTATTTGGCCGGAATTGTTGAGGATGTTGCTGAGGATTTGATAACTTATTTTCACCCAAGCCGGAAGGCAAGGGAAAGTTTTTCAATTTCCCAGCAATATGTCAAAAGTTCCAACCACAAATTGTGAATGGGCAAGTCAAATTGTTAAAGAAGATAACTGATAAAAATAAGTTTAAGACTGCCAAGGTATTACTACAGCGCTATGAATTAGCGCTTTACGTATTCCTTGGTGTGCAAACATAATCTTATTTTTATCTTTATCTCCTTCAACAATTTCTTCCTTCCTTCCTTCCTTCCTTCCTTTTGTAAATAATGTATATATAATGTAAATAATGTATATATAAATGTGTATAATGTATAAAATGTATATAATAATGTATATAATGTATATAATAATGTATATAATGTAAATAATGTATATATAAATGTGTCTAATGTATATAATAATGTATATACCTAATGTAAATAATGTAAAATGTAAATATGTATACAAGGCTGGGCATTAACGTGTTAAAAAGTTAAAGTTATTTTGATTTTATTGTCATATCAAAAAAAATATTTACTGTGAATTGTATCAAGTTAATAAAATCATATAAAATCAGTTAAAAATTAAAAATAAAACAAAAACATGACTCGAATTTAGTTAAATATTAAGTATAAATAATCATATAATTAATTATAAATATTATACATTTATAATAATATTATTATTATATAAAATAGAAATAACATGAACAATACTGTAATATTTTAAAAACATAGGTACATCTCATACAGTGTTTAGTAGCAACTGTTTAGTTTTCCCCTTTAATTTTTTCACAACGTTTGTTTTATTTGTTTTCTTATGGACATCTTCGTCTGGTGGTACTTCATCATCTTCATCAGTTTCTTGAATACAGTCCCTTACTAATTCATTTGAAGTCATATTAATATATTTTTGATGAAATTTACCTGGTATAATGCCATCTGTACACAGCTTTAATAAATCTTTATATTTTTCTTTAGAAATCGAAAGATTTGAAGTATATGCTTGTTCTGGAAAATATAATGCTTCCGAAGTTGGTTTTGGTATATCTATATATATAAAAATGGAGACAAAAAATTCGAAATTGCATCAGTTGAGAACGGCTGGGCCGATTTTGCTCAATTTTTTTTTAAGATGTTCGTAATTGCCAGGTGAAGGTCAACTGAATAATTAGAAAAACTGCAAAAACTATTTATTGATGTCTGGGATTTGAACTAGATACCGTTGTCTTTATTTACTCTATGGTGTATTATATTATATTGGTTGCTATTGGTTAATCGGGCATGTTTGTTGATTTGTATTATTATTTTTTGTAAATATATCTTATATATAAATGAATGACGGTGTGTAGAATAGACTTATGGGAAGAAGATACGCTAATTTAAAAAGGGTTAAATTTGGTTTTTTTTTTATTCATCGGATTTTAGTACGGTTATGTTAGGTTAGGATTTATAGGTAGGTGGAATTAAGTAAAAACTCAAACTTGGTATAACTTTGGTACTTTTTGAGTTAAATCATACACTTACGTACAAACAGCACGGGGTCCGCGATCTACCGCAGGTAAATTACCTATCTGATAATGTACTACTGCAATTCAGAATTTTTATTCCGGGCAACAGAAAAGTTAAGATAAATCTAGAACATCATACACCGAATATTAAATAACGCATTGAACAATGTTTGAGTCATATAGAGTTTAATATAGAGCCATTTAACGGGAAACGAAGTGCACGGGATCAGCTAGTTTATTATAAATCCTTTTGCATCGGCATTGTATGAAGAAAATGCTTCAAGTATCACGTCATCGTTTTGTAATGGATTTCTGTAAAAATTAATATATTTAATTTTGGAAGTTTTTACAATATTTTTTTCCTTATCTTTTAGGACTTTTGGCAGCACTTCATCAGCATTTTTTTTCCAATTTAGGAAGTTTTGAAATTGTTGCTCTTTCACCTTTATTGACTTTGGGTTAACCCTCGAGTTCCTTATAAGCGGATGCCATTCACTAGGTGCCCAAATTGTTTTATCATTAATAAAGCGTTCGATCGTCGCATGAATTGAATCTACTGGCATATAACTATGTCCCGGGAGTAAGAAAACTATTTTTACCTCGGTTAAATCGGCACATTGTTTTTTCAAACCACTCATAATCATAAATAACATAGCTCGATTTTTATTTTGGCCTGCACACGAATCACAATACAGGGAAATCGACTTAAACTTTGGATTTTTATTGCAATCCCACAAATATTGATAAATACATGACACAATTTCATTGCAACCACGTAAACCGTCAATCTCACCCCACAAATAAGCATACGCATTGTATGTACCAGACTCGTAAATAGAACAATTGTAATAACTGTATTTACGGCTGTAATATAAATTTATGTGTGGACCCATGGGTGTATTTAAGACTTTCTGGAGGTCAAAACTTGAGCATACAAAATCTCCGCCTGCTTTAGATAATTGTTGATCAAATAAAAACATTTGCCGACACTCTTCTTTTTCATATAGATGTTTTTTTTCTTTAATTTTTTGTTCTTCATTCAAGTCACTAGATAATTTTATATTATCAAATTTTGAACAAAGATTACATTTACTTTTTTAGGAAGATGAAACCCAATATTGTATTTTTTCGTAAATACTATCTTGAAAGTACTTTTCGACATAACTGTATGGTTATTTTTCTTACAAAAATCCATGTATACCAAGTATAACTTGATATATTACCAAATTCTGCTGGTAAGTATTTTTTTATACTTGATGCCCGACAATAGTGCGATGGTACTGCAGGTAGTTTTTGAATAAAATAATCTAGATTTTTCATATTTTCAATTGCCACTTAATTTGGTGGACGGCCCTTACCACGTCTATCGTCTATCGTTTATCTTTTGTTTTTAAAAATGAGACATGCCATGGTGGAAATTTGATCAAGGAACGTCTCACGGTTTTAGTATGTACAAATTCTACCGGAACCCATAAATTTAAGTTGGTTGTCATTGGAAAAAGTAGGTCTCCTCGCTGTTTCAAAAATGTTCGTACGTTTCCATGTGAATACCTTGCTCAATGTCGTGTTTGGATGACAGGAATACTATTCATGAACTGGATTCAACAGCTAGATGCATTTTTCGGTAAACAAGAGAGAAAAATTATTCTTTTCGTCGACAATTGTCCGGCTCACCCTAAAGATATCCCTACTACCAATATAAAACTTGTTTTCTTTCCACCAAATACTACATCTAAGTTACAACCCCAGATCAGGGTATCATTAAAGTGATAAAACAAAAGTACCGAAAAAAGTTAGTTCAGCGGTACTTGAGAGACTTGGAGAGTACCAACCAAATTTCAACTAAAGTTAATGTTTTGGACTCCATACATTACGTTAGTGCCGCTTGGGATGAAATTAAACCAGATGTAATAATAAACTGTTTTCGGAAAGCTGCATTTGGTGTGTTGAACAACTCTGAACAGGCTGATAGTTCACCTTTAAAAGAAGAGGACTTTCAGCTTCTGCAAAACTTTGCTGATTATGCAACAGTAGATGATGAACTCGTAACCAGTAGCACTTGGACTTTAGATGAAATAATCGCTGATACGAACTTAGTGGACAATGAGAAAGAAGACGACGATCAAGAAGAAGAAGATCAAGACTTTCCTACTCCTACAATAACTACTGGTTTGCAACATTTATCGGAAATTCGGAAAGTATTATCCTGTGTTGAAAATTCCGAAGAAATGTTAGGTTGTCTTAATAAAATTGAAAACTTTCTTGCTGAAACGCATTGTCAGAACCTTAAACAATCAAAAATAGATAATTTTTTTAATAAACAATAATAAAATATGTATGTAATAATAATATTTTTTTAAATTAAATTCAGTAGCACACAAATATAAGTATGTATGTATATTGTAATTATAATTAATTTATAAGTGTATTTCTCATTAAATTATGTTTAATAATAAAAAAATTTATATTTATTTCAACCACATAATTTTGTTTCATTCCCGCATAAGACGCTTTCCCGCTTAAGACTTTCTAGAGAGCTGGTCCCTTAAAGAGCGTCTTAAGCGAGTTTTACTGTACCTAGTTATTGTTACATTGAATATTGCTGTAATGATATTATTATGTTCTTTCAAATTTTGAAACACGAATAACCGGTGGTTGGAACGAAGAATGGATGTTTATTAACTAAAACTTACCATATTAATGAAAAACAAAAATAATGTATAATATGCAACCATACGGTAACCGACGGTCATCTGACCAAGATAAGATTTTAGATAGGTAGTAAATATACGGCTTTTCGACAAATAACACATTAATTATAGAGGTTCATTTATAATTCATAAGATAACTATGCAATTATATGCATTATGTTCAAAATATTATGCAAAAAAAAAAATTGTTTTATTTATTCGAGAATAATCTAAATCGTGGACATATCTGACAATCAATCAATTTTGACTCAAGGAAAAAACATGCGAACGCCTAGAAATCCTAGCCCTAACAATATATTATATTTATAAACTTAATGCCTAGTAGCGTTGTTTAAAGTATAAAACAACCCTACGTATCTATTACGTGTAGCTATTTTACAAGTTCCGAAACCGGCAACATCGCGTGACATTTTGTTATACTCTGCAGATATAATAAAGAGACAACCCTAATGAATCTTAATTCTTATATAATACCTATTATTAATAAATGTAATATTTACCTAAAGTGAATTTGAGACGTATGTCTGTCGTCTGAACATGCACTCGCAAAAATAATAATTATTATCAAAAAACAAAGAGTCTATCATAGTTCAATCATTTTAGTATTGTCTACATAATTTTTACATAATAAATTATAATTTCAAAGACTTTTTAAGAAACAACATTTTTACCACTTTTTTAATTGGTTTATGTGTATGGTATGTGTTGTCTGCATTGTACATATACTTCCCAACAAAAACCTAACAGTGAAAAGAGGCCAAGTTCCAAACTACCTACCAAAAAATTCAACCTATCAAAGTAGTGAAATCTATACCTTGCGGCCAAATATGCATTTTTTTAGTTCCACTCCTTGCAAGAGAAACAGCGCTCTTTTATTTGTATTGCTTAACATGCTGACTTTTTAGGGAAGGGGCTGTAAGCTTTTTTCATATTTCATTCTCTGCTTATATACTATGTTTACTTACTTTTCCTTTGTGTTTTCGAAGGTTGAACTGGACTTATTGTTTCAGTACATACTTCAGGGCCTTCCACAGTTAAACTAGTTCCAGCAATGTCAATATTGTAATCAATATCGTTACTAAAAATGACTTCCATATCATTTATTTGTAAACCCTCTTGGACTTCATTATCTAATATAATAAATCATTAAAAATAATTGTATTGGTAATTATTTCACACTATTATTATTTCATATAATTATATTAAATAAATTATAAAAATTATATGTATACCCGATTCAATGGAATCAACTCCATACTCCAATGGTTTAACAGATGGACGTGTCTTCAAAAGTTCATCCAATTCTTCATCCCATTCACCTCCATCCTTGCGATCATTACCACTCTTTCTATTGCAATATTCCTTATCTTTGTATAAATGTTTTAAAGCCTTCTATTTTGTTCTAATTTGTTCAACAGTTTTGTTGTATCCTAAAGCCTTCATTTCTATTTGAACAGCTCCCAAAATCTACATGAAAAAAATATATTTACAAACATACTGAAGTTGAGACATAAAAATAACAAATATTTATTACTTCTCCATTTCTGTATCTTTTTCCATCTAAAGCAGACATTATATTTCTTTCTTTGAAGATTGATAATAAATCTTTCACTTCTTTATCTGACCAAGAAATTCTCTTTCGTTTTGTCGGTGTCGGAGATGCCATTTTATATGCACTGTTATTAATCAACTTAATAGTTGATAGGTACTTCGTACTTACTAAAAAATGAATTAATTACACGGTAGGTATTGAATTTTTTTACTTTAGTTAACTAAATTAACTACTAAGACATTTTTAAGTTGTTAACTTCCGTTTCCCGTACCGTATAAAATATTTTAAACAAAATCTGATAACACAAGTGATAACACAATTAATGCAAAACATATCCCGCGTTTATATGTACATTTGATAAAGCATATAAAACGGTTTTAAATTCTTAAACTACATCTACATAGCGCGAGCGTTTTAACTTTTAAAACGGTTTACAGTTTTCAAACCGTTTTAAAGTGTTTACATGACATTAATGCGTTTTAATTTCAAAACGGTTTAGTCTTAAACCGTTTTAACGCCATCATATAAACGTAGTAAATGAGACGTAATGTTATGACTAATAAACTCTATTTTTGTATATTAAGGTTAAAATAAAAATAATCTGTAGGTACTAATAAGTTTCAACAGTATATATTTTATACTGTTGTCAATAAATAACAAACGCACACAATAACACAAATGCAAAACTTATAAATGAATGACGACATAAATATAATAATCAATAAAATAATGTGTCTGCGTTTGATGGCTTGAGTCTTATACTTTTATCATAAGAATGAGAGAAATGGAACTGTTCCGAGAGCTGCAAGGCGTAAGCACCACCTTCTTGCATGCGTTATCAATATGAATGTTTCAACCATAGAAAAAAGATTAAATAGAAAGGCAAATTCCACACAACATTTTGATACACGGTTCTATACTACCGCTCCCCGTGGTTGTCTCGAGTTCAAACAATCAATTTTTTCGATTTTTTAAAATATCTATAATTTTCACAATCGATCCGTATGTTATCGTTACATATGTTATCGATTATTATTTATTTATTATAAAAATATTATAATGTAATATAATTGTATTTGATATATATTTTAATATTTTTAGAATAGGTTACACTTTAAATTATAAAACACAAAATAATTGTTAAACATAATTGATTTAGTATATTATCCGTGCGTTGCACTCGGTTTGCGGTTTACACACGCCGAGTACAGTAAAATCTTGGTAGTGGGGTAGTCACTCGGCCAAGCAAATGCAATGCGTGTAAACGCTTCTCTCGGTCAATGCCGGTACTAGACCGAGCAACATAACGAGTGACACGGCCGAGTACTCGTCACGTGTAAACAAGCCATTACTAACCAATATTTAAACTCTAATGGTATTATGCACGTATGTGATATGCCTATGATTTACTACTCTTTAGTCTTTAGTGAGCTAAATAAGTTTTCAAGAACATTGTGATTAACTCTTTGTAATTATATATTTTCTGTTTTCAAGTTTTTAAGTAAATACATTTCTAAGGATTTTTAGTATTATTTAGTATAACAGCGTGATCATAATAGTTTAGAGTGAGAGTTTGAGTTTCAAGGTACGAGGCTGAGGTGGTGCCGTAAGTGACTGTTTGCAATGTGTATACCTTAAGGGGGCTCCAGCGTATCATGTTTTAAGGAGTAATATTTAGGCAATTCACATAACATGAACATTTGGACTATGTCTATGT